GGTGCAGGTGCGGAGGGGCCGGGCGCGGAGCCCGCCCGGCGCTATGGCCATGCGGGAGCTGGTGGAACCGGAGTGCGGGGGCTCCAACCCGCTGATGAAGCTGGCCGGCCACTTCACCCAGGACAAGGCTCTGCGGCAGGTCGGCTTGCTGAGCTGGGGCGGGGTGTGGGGCCGGAGGAGGGCTGTGCTGGGGTGAGTAGTGCGGTGGGGCTGCTGGTGCAGGTGGGTGTCGAGGCGCTTGGGTTTTTTTATTTTCTGGGGCAAGGGTCACCGAGGTGTCACCCGATTTGTCCAGCAGCCCGGTGGGACAAGGACTTGTCTGTGGGAGCTGTGTTTATGGGCGCTGGGAGGGTGTTGGTGGCCGTGGTGAGCTGTGTGCCTTGCTGTCACAGGCCCTAGCCCAGGACGTGGTGGGAGGAGGGGATTTAGACGGTGTCACTCAAGCTGTTCCTACTCCTTTAACTTCCACATAAGCAGGCAACTAATGCAAGAAAGTGCTGACAGCCTAATCTCAAGGAACATGTAAACTAATTGGGTCGTGGTGTGTGTGTGTGTGTGTGTGTGCAGAGAGAGGCAGGGGTCAAAGCTGTTGGTATAATTGCCCACTATTCCCTGTAGGTATCCAAACCATTGGGAGGGGCCACTGAAGATGAGGTGAGGATGGATCGATGCATCTCCTTACTGCTTTTCTCATCAACACCATTTGCTGTTTTTTCCCCTTACTCCTGGTTCTTGCGTGTCTGCTTGTTTCTCTTATACTCCACCTGTTTGTCTTCTATGCTATGTTTGTATTTGATCTCTGTCATTGGCAGCTGGTTGGAGAGTTCCTGCAAGAGCAAAATGCTGCTTTACTGTCCCGTGCTCCCCAGACCTTTAAGATGGATGACCTGTTGGCTGAGATGCAAGAGATTGAACAGTCAAGCTTCCGACAGGCCCCTCAGCGAGGTGAGGGGAGCAGGATCAGGTGGAGAGCTGGAAAATGTCTTTGTGTGACGTTTAAGCTCCTAGCAGGGTGGTTCCTGTCTATTCAGCACTTGTGAGATTGTGTCTGGAGAATTGTTTCCAGATTCAGGCTTCCCAGTACACTGATGTACTGGAACAGGTCCAGTGGGGATCAGCAAGGTGTTCAGGGAGTGGAATACATGGTGTAAGAGGCAAGGTTGAGGGAACTGGGTTTTTTCAGCCTGGGGAAGAGGAGTCTAAGGGGCATTGGGGGTGGAGTGTCTACTTGCTGTCTTCAGCAGCCATGGCCAGGATCTTTGCAGCAATATAGAGCAAGAGAAGGGGCGATGGGTACAACTTGTGGAATGGGGACTAGATGTAAGGAAGTATTTCTTCCTAGTTCAGTGCTGGAACAGGTGCCCAGGGAGGCTGGGGAATTGTCAGCTGTGGACAGGTTCAAAAGTTACCTGATGAATGCCCCAAGTAACCTAATCTCTGTCTTTAGCGTTAACACTGTCAACCCCCAGAGACTCCTTCCAAGCGGAATCTTTCTCTGATTTTGTTATAACAAAGAAGTATGAGAGATGATGAAGGCTAGCCTGAGACGCTTAAATGATGCTTTTGAGTCCTCCAGTCCTCACTTCTGCTTTTTCTTTTTGCAGCTCCAGGTGTGGCAGCCCTGGCACTGTCTGAAAACTGGACCCAAGAATTCTTGGCTGCAGCAGATAGTGCTGGTGATGTCTCTTCGGATTACAATGAGGCTGACTGGTCACAGGAGTTCATTGCAGAAGTGACAGGTGAAGGGTTCCATTTGGAATTACTGTCAAGATGTTACTGGGACAGATGCCTGTGTATAGTGGAGAGTTAAGAAATGTGAATCTGGAGTGAAACTTTGAGCCCAGTAGTCAATGTTTGCCATAGCAGCTTTAATGGGGAGTAAAAAAACCCTCCTTTATGATGGCTTAGATTGTTCACAATGTGTCATGAACACTGGGTAAAATGAGTCTTCTGTGTGTTGGTTTTTTGGTGTTTGTTTTTTTGTTTGTTTTTTTTTAGCTTAGGTTGCTTGGAGAACTTAGGAGAAGCAGGCTATTCTAACTGCTTTTATAAAAATTACTATGATTCAATTAACGTAAATCCTGGCTCTGGTCTGGTACTGCTTCTTGGTTATATATTCTGCAATTCCTTCTCTTAAGGCTAGCTTTGCCTTTGGTACAAAGGTAAATAATTTTTAATGTGCTTTGTCCAAATACTTTTTGTCAGCTTCATGGAAGGACTTTGCACGTTGGAAGGTTAAGCTTTCCATTTCAAGTGAGCCAGTAGTTTATTTGAAAAGCCATCCTGCATTGTGGATAGAGCTGGAATGGGGTCCTGTTACCATCCATGACCTAACTTGGAACTGATGAGTAAGGTTTAAATAGATGCTGTTCTCTAGGATTTGCCACTATAGAGAAACAAGTAGTCCCATTCTTTGACCTTAGTTCTTTATACTCCTGGGAATATAAGTAAACTTTTACACAGGCCTTTGAGAAAGTTCTGATGAAAACCTAGTGCTTTGTAGGCTGTGCTTTTGACAGAGACTTGTGGTGCATTGCTAGTTTTCTTGACCTACATATTATCTCACATGGAGCAGACAAATAAGTTGTGAAATTAAAGTAGCAAATGGTAAGGATTGTGGCATCTCTATTAATACACAGTCTGCTCCTAATGCTTGACTTTTAGATCAAAATAAACTAAGGTAGAAGAAACATGCATGAACAATCTTTCTTTGAAGAAGCTTTCTCTGTATGTTAGTACGTGTGTAAAGTGGAGAGGGCAAAGTTAATCAGTGATCATGTGCTTATCTTGCTCTTCTCCCCATCCTTCCCCATGTCCTGTGCAGATCCACTGTCTGTGTCTCCTGCAAAGTGGGCAGAAGAATACCTAGAGCAGTCAGAGGAGAAACTGTGGCTTGGGGAATCGGAAGACCAGTCTTTGGCAGATAAATGGTGAGTCTGTCTTAGCTAGACCAGTTGTTGCTGCTATGCACTTGAGTGAGTAAAATTTGGATAGGTGATAGGAATCTGCTCTAGTCTGAATGCTTTTGTGTCATTCAGCCCAGACTGATGTTCTCCGGCCTTTGGTTTCGGAGAACGGAGGAAATAATGCTTGGAGATTGAAGCTTTTAAGAGATCCTAGCTTTTTCTGTTTTCTGGTTCCAGGAAGATATTATGATCATGTGTGCTAGCTTAATTTCATGCCTAATGCAAAGCTCCTTAGAGGAGATTACAGGAGTGAGTTCAGGAACTCCTAATCAAGCAGACCTTTTTTCCCCCCAACAGATGCTTTTTTAGATTTAGGGATCTCAAGTACCGGACTTATTCTCCCTGTCTGACAAACCACGTCCAGCCTTTCCTTTGGATGTTTCTAGACTCAGCATTTCAGACTTTATTTTCATGTCTTTTTGTGTGGTAGAGAACAGTCTGCTATTACAGATCTTCTCTGTACAGGTGCCTGTTGACTACAGTCAAGTTTTTGAATTAAAGCAGCAAAACAAAACCAAGCAATCTGGGCTTCTTAGATCTTTC